AATGAAAACAAGAAAACGAATTTGCATTTTCAGGAAATGAAAATGCTTCTGGTAAATTAATTAAAAAACATCTTTCAGAAAACAAAAACAATGAAAACGTGTCTAGTAGTACAATTTGAAGTAACAATATGTGAGTTATTTTTATGAAAACGTTTCCCATGAGAATGAAAATAACTTTTTTCTGTTTTCTACAGGTACACATGAACTTGTTTTCATTTTATGAAAACATTATCAGTGTTTTCTATTTTTGGGCCACCGAACGTGTTTTTGCCTTATTTTTATTCTCTGAAAATGAAAACAACTCCTTAAAATGTTACCGAACGGGGCCTTATATTCCAGATTAGCTTCTTCCAAGTGGGTCTCGAGAGGAAATTTTTTAGGTATAAAACATATTTGAGTAGGAACCATTAGCTAAAAGAGCATTTACTTCTACTTGTAAGATATTTCATTTTGTTCTATAAAAAAAATTTATCTTGTTAAGTTTTAATGCCCATTTGGCATTGTTTATTTGGGGTGATGAGTGATTTTTCAAAAATTTTGGGAAGCATAGCCTGTTTGATAAACTATGAGAAAATCACTTATTATTAAAAATTACTGTGAGAGAAAGCTATAAGGGAAAGTAGCTAGGTACTTTCATTTTCTGATTATGTAGGAATTAGTTTCGAAGAGGTGCTAAGTTTAATGAAATTTACAAACTTCCAAAAATACCCCAATCTATTTCACGCAATCTCTTCTCTTCGCGTGTTTTCACCTTTTCATCTCTTCGCTTCTTCACGCCATCTCTTTCACAGAGTTTTCCTTCTCTTGAATCTCTTCTATTCTTCATATTATTTTATTCTTGTTGAATCAATTGAAGCACACTCCTGATAAGCCACAAGACTCAAGTAGGAGGCATATTATGTTTATTTCTTCTCAATTTCATTCTTCCCTCATTCTCTTTAATTCCTAGGGTTTTAACTATAAATTTCATTCTTCACTCTCTCTTTAATTTTTAGGGTTTTAACTTCAATAGTTATTGCTATTGGTTTTTATTTGTTTAATTTTTTTTTCCCATTCTTGTTTTTGTTTCTTTGTTTCTTTGACATAATATTTATTTTTAATGGAACATATTGGATTTAACTTGAAACATTAATTAGTTCAGAGCATTTGGATAAAAATATTTAATTTTCACCATAATATTTTCTTGATTGAAACATATTTAATAATATATATATATATATATATATATATATAAGTGAAAGCGAAAGTGCTTTCCTTTTATCAAACACTTTAACACAAAAGTCATTTCAACATAATGCCCTTTTTATACACAACTCATTGTACTTTCACAAAAAAATTTACCAAACACTTAGAAATTGATTATTGTATCAACAACACAGTAAATTTGATAGCTATTATTTTCATAGCACAGCAATGCCAAATTGGCCCATAATCATTGAAATTTTTTTTTTTGTTTAAACGAGGTGGCATGTCTAAAATCATAGAGAAAAAATCAGAGCAAAAGATACTAGGATTTTCTTGACTTTTAATATAAGACTGCCACATCAACATAATAAAATCTAAAGGTTAAAACAACTGCCACATCACCTACAACAATAAAAATAAAAATACATTCTTGCCAAACAGACAGAAGCTAAGTCGTTGGTGTTCTTCTTCAGAAATCAAATTCAACTAATCTCAGTTCTGAAACTCAAAAACACCAATTTTATTTCAGCCATCAAAGAAAAATACCCCTTTTATTTTCAATTCCAATCTAAGTGGTTCACAACAATCAAACATATTTTGAGCACCAAAAATACTGTGGCTTTCTATCTTACTTGAGTCTTACGATTAAATTGGGTTTAAATGGAGTAGACTTGTTGTTGATTTCTGATGATTTTTTTTTTTTTTTTTTTTTTTTTTTTTTTTTTTTTGGTTTTTTTGGGGGGGGGAGGGAGGAAAAAAAATACTATGTAAGGCCAAACTATACATATTGCAAAAATATTTTCACACATTCATGCATACGTCATTTTTCTCGTCTTCTATCTCTCTCTCTCTTTTGATTTCAAATCCGACTAGAAACTCTCTCAATTAACAATTGTTTGGGGGTGGTCAAAATTCACCCAATTTGCCAAGGAAGAATTCCTAAAGGCCAAAAATTCCTAGCGGCCGGAGAATCCCCAACGGGCGAGAATTCCTAGCGGGTGAGGATTTCCAGCGACCGGAGAATTCCTAGCAGGCGAGGATTCCTAACTGGCGAAGAATTCCTAGTGGGCGAGATTTCCTAGCGGCTGAGAATTCCTAGTGGCTGAAGAATTACTAGCGGCCGAGAATTCCTAACGGCCGAAGAATTCCTAGTGGCCAAAGTGTTTTCTCAAAAATGCGGCCAAGGTCTTTTCTTCAAAGGCCATGGTGCCTTCTCAAAAATGCGGCCGATGTGTTTTCTTCAAAGGCCGTGGTGCATTCTCAAAAATATGGTCGGGCGCTTCCCTTTACAAAAGTGGTCGGGCATATCATTGCAAAAATAGCCGGGCATATCCTTACAAAAGTGGCAAAATGCTTCATTCTCAAAAAGTTGGGCCGGGCACTCCTTAAATACCTCGGTCGGCCACCCCTCTTACAAAAAGCTGGGCTAGGGCGAATTTTCTCATTGCTCACCTTGGCGCCCTCCTCTCAACACTTAGGCAAGTAAAGTTGGGCCAATGGAGTTGAAGTTCGGCACGAGGTATGTCCGCCGAATTCCCAATATTCGAATATTTGAGAACTCAAATATAGTCCAATATAGGGCCAACCCCAACATCCAAATATTTGGAGTTCCCATACCACCCATCTTGGCCTGTGATTCGACATAATAAAGCATTGCCTATGAATAATATGTAGAAAGAATTTCAATCAAGCATACCAACAAAAAATCAAACAAATTATCATAATAGCATCTCAACAATACCAAACAAAAAATTATAATTCATCCATAATTAAACCCTAGAATACTTAATTTTAACAAAATCCCAAATCAAAACCCTAGAATAATTCATCTCTAATCAAAGCCCTAATTAATTTCAACAAAATCCCAAAATTATAATTCATCCCTAATTAACTCCTAGAATACTCAATTTTAAATTGAAACTATAATTAAAGATATATAGCAAAGGAGAGAATGATAATAATACTTGTTGTTGACAAAAGGAGGGGAGAAGATGTTGTTGCCAAGTTGCCCACCCAAGATAATAGAAGATATAGCCAATAGAGGGAGAATTTGTCCCCAAAAAAAGAGAGGGAGAAACTTGCTATTGTCGGGTAGCAAGGAGAGAGAGGGAAACAAGAAGCCCAATAGCCAAAAGAGAATGAGAGAGAAGATATGAGACCACTTGGATTGGCAACATATGTGTAGGGTTTGCTTTTAATTTTTTTTTAAATTTTAGGATGAGCTTATGACACATGTATGTTTTTGTTTTTGAAAAAATTTGGGGCCGCCCTTGAGCATGAGGACAACGTTCTTAGATAGTTAGAAATTATAGAATATGACTGTATCATCATGTCAGCTTGTGATACTCCAATTCAAAACTTGCCATGTGTCATTTTTTATATTAAAAAAATTCTTTTTTTACCTTCATAATAAAACTAAAGAAAAAATAAACCGAAAAAGACATAAAGGGACAAAAAAGACGCCTAAACCACCTCACACCTAACCCAACCCCTTAGAGCATCTCCAAGGGAGATGTCAAATACCAAACATCAAATTTAAATTTGATGGCTGATGTGGCAATTTGACATTTACATACTTTTACACTCCATCCGATATGTCAAATAAATAATTATTATAACAGTCAAATCATTTAAGATAAAGAAGAAAAAAAATAAAAAAGGAAAATAATAAATGAAAATAATAACCAGCTGTCTTTAAAAAATAATAAAATATTCATTTGACATCTTGCTTTTGGGATGTCAAAAATAACATCTCAACCTTTAGCCTTCATTCCACATCAGCTTTGTCACATCGGTTGGAGTGATGTGAGATGTTATTTATAGCTGTTAAATGTCTATATGGTATGTTTGACATATCGGTTGGAGATGCTCTTACCCAGCATTGCCTATCCTCCCTTCCCTCTCCTCTCCAATCTCTCTCACTCTCACTAAACTGCAAGGTGTCTTGAACCCATGGAACCACCTGCAAGATCTCATAAGCATTGAAAATGGGTCCAATTTTATTCAATTACCATTAACACTCATCTCTCACCTCAAACCTTTTTTAGATATGCGCGTAAGAGAATGAGTCAGGGTGGGTTGTTCTGTCTTTTGTTGATTTTTTATTTTCTTAATTTTATTTCAAAGGATAATAATGAGTTTCTTGTCCAACTGTAAAAAAATCTTTACTTGTTTTGAAAAATAACAAGTGACAAATTTGGAACGAGAGTATCACAAATTAACATGGTAGTATAATCTTATTCTATCATTTCTTCTAGGCAGCTTGGTAAATGGGTCCCATTCTTGTTCAGACTGACTTTCCTTGTTGGGCAGAAAAAATATTCTTAACCACTTCACTTGAGTTGTAATTCCCGTGAAAAAGAAAAAAAAAAGTTTATTTCTCCATTTTAAGATTCTCCAACACTTGTTTCTTCTCGTTCACAGCCTTTTATCTACTGACTGCAAAGCGAATGACTACTACAGCAAGACAAAGGGAAATCTCAGACGGACAAAACCCATTACGCCAAGCAACCTCATCTAATCTGGCCTTATAAAAAAAATATATCTTACGGTACCCGAACTTTCTCTATCCATCACTTTCTCTACCTGGACTCTAGAGAGAGAAACAGCTTAATAGGGTCCCAGACAAGGGACAGAAACAAAGATTGAGACACCCTTGTGGTCGAGCATCATTTGGGTGTATGTACTCTAGAGAGAGAGTTGAGACAGAAAGACAGAGAGACAGAGAGACGGAGAGAGAGTAGTTGGTTGTACAAATAAAGCCAACATCATAGCACCGTTTCGTGTGAATTTAGTTTTGCTAAAGTAAAAAAACTATGGTGGGTATTTTCTCAAGGTTCTCTGTCAGCAGAGCTGCGCATCGACGTACCCAGAGTGCCATCGTAAGAACTCTTGTCTTCTGCTCTCTCTTTTATATTCAATAATTGGCTTGTTCTTCAAAATGTTTGATTTTGCACTTTTTTAGATGTGTTCTTTTATTTGCAATCCTCTGATTGTTGTTCCGTTTGCTGGGTCTGTAATCGTTTTGAGGTAGGTATTAGATATTTTAGATTGTCTTATTTTGACTGGGGTTGACTTTTTTTATTTATTGCTTCTATAATTTGTGAAATGGGGTTTGATTTAGTCTTCTGTTGTGGAACTTTTCTCAGGATCTGACCCTTTCTTTTGGTTTTGGATATGTTTATTTTGAAATACCATTTCTTCGAATGACTCTTTTGGTTTTGGGTTATGAACCCTTTGATCCTTGAAATATATTGATTAGTTTTTGCAAAGCTACTGTGTCAGCAGTTTGTTGAATTTCATTATTCTGTTATTTATTGAATAAATCATATGACCGATGATTTCTGTTTGACTGATTGGGGAAAAATCTTTGTTACCATCAAGGCCTGTGATTAATTTAAGTGGTTTGCTTTCTTCTTATTGGTATTGATCCTCTTTTTCTTTCTTTTTTTCCTTTTTTCTTTGGTAGTGCAAAGTCAATTTGCAATGTTCTGTGAGTTACATTGAATTCCTTAACAGCAACAGATTTTCTGACAGATTTTAAGTTCGGCCACTTGCTGTTTGTGCTACACATTGCAATGGAATTTATGGCTTTGATACGTGCATTCAGAATTTCATGTAATTTGCTATCTGTTGCAGGATGAGAGGGAAGTATTGCCCCCAAATTCAGAGGGTACAGGTTCAGCAACTGCCCCCATCACCGCTTCTCATGGGATTGAGGTAGCAGTAGAGTTTAAGCCAGTTGAACATCCAATCGAGCCTCTCAACAATGATAGACCAATCCAGTGCCCATTACCTGAACCTTCAATTCTGAATGTAAGATAAAATCCTGACTTCCATTAAAGAATTTTTTGCTTTATAAGTTAGCAATATAGGGTGCTAGAGCTGGTTTGGATGGCACGAAGTAGAAATTGATTTTTTTAACCGTGTCAACTACGATTACCAATAAGCTGCTTCCGGATGACATTGCATGTTGTCCAAGTAGGTTTTATGGTAATAATTGAAGTCAGTCTCTATTTTGTGCTGATTGGATTGGATGAAAACCTTGGCTGCCTGAGCGTTGAAATTTTTTTCAGTGTTAGATTCAGGATATGTTGTTTAAGGTTGTAAAAGTTTCCAACTCTGATCCCTATGTACGTGGTGATACTAAGACATTATGTGGCGTGCAAAAATATGTCGTGATGCTATATGTATGTATGGAAGGCGGAGATTCCCTTATTCTTGAAAGTTACAATTAGAAAAGAATGAAAATATTTCTCTGCGTCCTTGAAAATCACACAAGAAGATTTCTGTGAAGCAATCCCACAAAGATATTTTGTTCCAAAACCTGTTTTTTTCGTGTTACCTAGCAAACCTATACTCGTTTATTTTGTAGTTTAAGTATCTGGATCGCTATACCTTATGTCAGATGTATAACTGTAGTATTAATTTAAGTGCTGCTGGGTAAGGTTTGCTTGAAACATTTACTTTTGGTATGGCGGAACCATGTTGAATGTTTTTCTGTTGATGTTTTGTCACTAGCTTCCAACATACGGTAGGACAAAGAAGTGCCTAGAAGAAAAACTTTGTGCCTATTTAAGAGAGGGTACCCAACAGTTTCTCTGGCCATACAGGCAGCAGTGAAGTCTTTGGTCTTTGCCATTTTCTGTGGATTTATCGGATAAAGTGTGTTGTATATAAGCATTGACTTCTCCTAATCACATGCGTACGATTGGATATAAATGTAGAAGTGGTGTGGATATAAATGTATAAATGGCTTAAGATTGCCATTAATTTGTTTATATTCACTCAAAATTTGTTCATTGTTGTTATATATAGAATGCTGATATAGCTTCTTTGACCTTCAGGATGGGAGACTATGGAAGGAGCGAGTATCAGCAACTGTGCCAAGGAGAGGTGACTTGCCAGTGATGAAGGAAGGGGGATCTATTGATTCTGAAGATTCTGGGACAAAACCAAGACAAAAACGAACCAATCGCATGATTTTACCCTCTCTTAGTGCCCCTGAACATAACCTTCTCAATCTCCTAGAAGAATGTAATGCGTCTGGCATTTAAACTCCGGTAACTTGTTTCATATTTGGACCTTAATGGTCTTAAATTTACCATTTCATTCTCGCTCTCACTATCACTACCATCGCTCTCGTATTGTATAATTTTAATTTTCAATTTTTATCGTATTGCCTGAATATATGTATTTCTTTATGTATCATGACAATAATGTCAGAGATGCACCTTAAGAATGAATGCAATCTAGCCATGTTCTCAGAATTTCATATTTCTTACAGCAGCTTTATTTCTTATGCAATTGTACTAGGAGATGTGGATGAGTAAGTAGATAGTTCTGCAGTGCCAGCTGCTTGCATGATAAAGATGACAAGTATCACCAAATTGCATCTGGAGTTTGATTATGTTCTGTAATGAAATATAAGTTGTAAATACCCCACCTTACTCTTTGTGGATTAATTGCTATTTGGGCCTGAAATCTGCGCGCTAGCCCGAAATAAACGTTGGCTTTACTTCTCTTTATTTACAAAAAATGGTGAATGACCCATACTATTCAACAAAAGAGGGATTAAATTAAATAAATGAGTTGATCCCAAGAATCAAATTATTTGAATTAGTTGATCCCCAATTCACAATTCTTAACTATTAAGGTATGTCAGAATGACACCTCACCGTTGGTAACTAGACTCCAAATAAATTTGATGACTGTGAAAGCTAGAAAGTGAAGTCAGACTTGTTTTAGTTGGAAATCACAACTACTTATTACAATATCGCCGGATTTCTTGCTACTACCAGGATATTTGTATTTATGGGACTAACGTTGGAAGAATCTAGGCATTATTGTTCACTTCAATTCAGTGTTTTTACAAAAACAACGATTAGGAGACATTCAGGAGCATTAATGAACAAGGAGCCAAAAATCATCAAAGAAACTCGCTGACAATCTTTTACCACTCGTGCATTGATAAGGGATTAATCCAAAATCGAAAATATCCAAGACTATTCATCATCACACTTTCTTCTATAAATACAAGAATACTTGGACTGGAAAACGGACACCTAACCAACCAACCAATAAAACAGAAACCCAATACAAACAATCATTAAAAACTTACCAAAGATCTTACAATCTAGCAACAGCCAAAAGCAAGCAAGCAATCTTCTTCAGGAAGCAATCCAGCTCAAAGAAAAGCTGAGACAGTCAACGAGAAAACAAGATTTCTTTTGCAATCCAAACAAGGTATTCCAATCAGAACTCAAAAGAGATTAATTTCTCTTACAAATTTGGTTTAGCAAATTAGATAAAGCAAGCAGAAGTCAGGTATTTCATCATATGAAAAACTCAACAAAATTTATAAAGACATCTTAATGTCTTTAAATTGTATAAAAAGCGATCAGATCACTCAAAATCAGTCAGAATAGGTACCAGCCTGCAGTTGTGCTCACTTTTTCTGCCTTCACACAACTCAACATGTTTATAGCTCTGCCAATCTCAACATTGGTATCGATTTCCAGCTAAATCTCTATTGGTTGAAGGTGCTGACGTGCAATTTCGGTGTAGAAACATCCAATCCAAGCAAAAGAGATCCAATCCAGCCTAATCTCAAATCATCATTGTGACAGTATTTTTAAGCATAAGTCAAAATCTAAAACTTTTAGGCCTATCTAGACTTAGCAATTCATTTTACGCTTTGTGTTCTAGGCAGTTCTGCTTGGACTAGTTTGGTATATCCTTCATAGATTCCTGTATTTTGCTTTACTTACCATTTTTATCTAGATAAATTGTGAAGTCCTCACTAGTCTGAAGCATAGAACAAAACTCTCTTGGGAGGTTTCCCCACCCAAAATCACAATTATTTGTTTAAAGTCTATTACTTGGGGTGCAAGTATATAAAATCATTCAAATATGTTAGAGTTTTAATTGCTAACAGTGGCACACTTACATAAAAGAAAGTTGATTCTCGAGACCATTAATGGTCAATAGGTCAATGGGGAATTTTACTTAGCTTTCAACAAGCTCAAATATAAAAGGGTAAACAATTTAGCACGCCCGATGGGATATCTAGATAAACATATTTCTGACAACCATTGTTGGTATATGAATACAGGAAGAACAAGCCAAAATCCACGATTAGCTATAGAACTAGGCAAAGCACCGCTCCAACCAGAGCCATAACAAGTTGATTAAGATGAAAGTGATGCAAGACGTTCAGGTCAAGGAAGCACTTATGCAAGGAACAGGCGAACTCATGCTACAGACATCCAGTTTGAGCGCATCCAAGAACATATCGAACAGTTAGATCTTCCATATGGAACTCCTCCAGGACTAGAATGGCCATATCAACCAGATCCTTTCATTCAACAAACTTTTGGAATGCGGAAGCTCATCCTGGACAGGGGGTAGCAATCATTTTAAACCAAGAAGATCCTGTCCAAAATGAACCTCATCCACCTCTAATTCAGCCCCAACAAGTTTGTATTGAAAGGGCTAATCCACCTCCAGTTCAGCATTTGAATAACAAACCCCCTGTTTTTAGTAAGCCATAAAGCAAGCAGTTCCACAGCCAGCTTTAGTGGTCCCATATAAGCCTTAAAGGCTGGATCTTAACTTATTTCCTCATTTGGCATGAGGCAGAAGGGGAAGATGAGGTGCTAATCATTTTTATGAAAGGAACAGAGCCGGAGGAGGTGGTTGGAGAAATAATAATGAATTTGAATAGGAACTAGAACAAAGGGAATAAGTTATTCCAAGATCTCTCAGAACTGATCCAGCAAGGGTTGGTCACTTTCAACCACCACAAATTCAGAATCCACCTCTTATCAATGCTCTCAATGACCTGGGGATATTGAAATGAATGATCAGAGAAATGGTAGATCCTGAAGCAAGGAGAGGAGAAAGGCCCATTTACAGGAAACCTTATCTAGCCTACATCAATCAAATGCCTTTGTCTCCTAGGTTTAAGGTGCCAAATTTTACTTTGTTTAATGGAGAAGACAGATATGCCTCATATGTTTAGATAAGTAAAAGACCTAACTACCCTTAAAAGACAGAGACTCAAATATATATTAATATTGGCTATACAATTGTCACACCCCCTGTCAAACTCACGATGTTACAGTATTAAGCATCGAGAGTTTGCTAAGAAGAAAGCGGAAGCGAGCAAGAGTGTGAGACTTGGTGAAGAAGTCGGCCAATTGCATGGTGGAGGAGACAAAAGGAAGAGAGATAGTGCCTTGCTGGAAATGATGGCGAACAAAGTGACAATCCAACTCGATGTGCTTTGTGCGCTCATGAAAGACAGAGTTGTGAGCAATTTGAATGGCACTTTTATTATCACAATACATAAGAGTAGGCATAGAGAGAGAAACACCCATATCTTGAAGCAACCACCGAAGCCAAACAATTTCAGCAGCAGTAGAGGCCATAGCACGATACTCAGCCTCAGCAGAAGAACGAGAAACAACTGATTGTTTCTTACTCTTCCAGGAGATAAGAGAATCACCAAGAAAAATGCAATAACCAGTAGTAGATTTCCGATCAAAAGGATCGCTAGCCCAACTAGCATCAGAAAAGGCTCGAAGCTCCAAAGTGGAGGTGGAAGGAAGCAATAAGCTTTGAAACAATGTCCCTCGAAGATAGCGTAAAATACGAATCACAGCAGCCCAGTGAAGAGTAGTGGGAGAAGAGACAAACTGACTAACAATATGAACAGCATAGGCAATATCAGGGCGAGTAATAGTGAGATAAACCAAGCTCCCAACAATAGTGCGATAAAGAGTAGGATCATCCAAAGGGGTACCATCAGATGGAGAATAACGCACATTGAGCTCAAGAGGCGTATCAGCCACTCTAGTATCTGTAATACGAGCTTTTTGAAGAACGTCAGCGACATACTTAGACTGAGAAAGGAGATAACCTTTAGGGGAAGATGCAACTTCAATGCCAAGGAAATAACGTAAGGGACCTAAATCCTTCATCTCAAATCGATCATGTAAAGCCAATTTTAATTGGGTGATACCATCCAAATCATCACCGTAAGAATCATGTCATCAACATAAAGGAGGAGAAGGATACGACCAACAGAGGTAGAACGAACAAACAAGGCAGGATCATGAGCACTTGATTGAAAACCAAGAGAACCAATAACAGCAGAGAATTTCTCAAACCAAGCACGAGGAGCTTGTTTAAGACCATACAAAGCTTTCCGTAAACGACACACCTCCCCGGGATTATGAGGAACACCTGGAGGGGGAACCATATACACCTCTTCGAAAAGATCCCCATTCAAAAAAGCATTTTTAACATCCATCTGTGATAAACTCCATTGATGAACTGAGGCAACAGCAAGTAAAGTACGAACAGAAGTCATCTTGGCCACTGGAGCAAAGGTCTCTTCATAATCAAGGCCATATTCCTGTGTAAATCCCTTAGCAACCAAACGAGCCTTATATCTCTCAAGAGAACCATCAGACTTAGTCTTAATTTTATAAACCCATCGACATCCAACTGCATGTTTACCGGGAGGAAGAGGAACCAAATCCCATGTGCCAGTTTTATGCAGAGCAGAAAGTTCTTCATTCATAGCCTGTTGCCAAAGAGGATTACATATAGCCTCCTTGTAGGAGGTGGGTTCAGAGAGAGTATGTATAGAAGATAAGAAAGAAGAGAAATCATGAGAATAACAAGAATAACTAAAATCAGTAGAAGAATAACCAAACCGATGAGGGGGCTTATGAGTGCGCGAAGGATAACGAGGTGCTATTGGATCCACATCCACAGAAGTTGAAGCAGGCACCAAAGGAGAAGAAGGATTATTAGTGTCAGAACTGATGACATGTTTCCTGCGAGAATACACTTGAGTAATAGGAGGAGAAGTAACACAAGGATTAGAAGGGGAACTAGAAACAGGAGAAATATTAACATTGTCAGAATAAGAGAAATCATCATTACTAGGTGAAAAAGGATCGATATACATGAGCTCAGAATTCGATAAAGTAGGAGAACTAGTAGGAATGGAGAAAAAAGGAATATGCTCAAGAAAAACCACATGACGAGAGACATACAATTTTTGTGCACTAGGATCATAACAACGATAACCTTTTTGTCCTTCGCCATAACCAAGAAAAACACACATAGCAGAGCGAGCAGATAATTTTGTATGTTCAACAGGAGGACGAAGAACAAAACAAGTACAACCAAACACTTTCAATGAGAAATAATCAGGACTATTACCATACAATCTTTCAAACGGAGATATACCAGAGGTGAGAGATGTGGGAATACGATTAATCACATGATTGGCAGTCAGAACTGCTTCGCCCCAAAAAACTTTTGGGACATCAGCAGAAAGCAACATAGACCTGGCAGTTTCAACAATATGTCGATGTTTCCTTTCGGCAACACCGTTTTGTTCAGGAGTGGCAGTGCAAGAGAATTGGTGTATGGTACCATCTGAAGCAAGTAAGTCAGTGAAAGCATGAGAGGTATATTCACCACCCAAGTCACACCGAAAACATTTAATGACAGTAGAAAATTGTGTATGAACAAGGGCGCGAAAATTTTGAAAGATAGTAAAGAAATCAGAGCGGCGTTTCATAAGATAAATCCAACAATAACGAGAGTAGTCATCAATAAATGAAACATAATATCTAGCGCCCCCTTTACTAGAAATAGGAGCTGGGCCCCATACATCAGAGTGAATTAAATCAAAAGGTGCTAAAGAAATAGAGGAACTTCTAGTAAAAGGTAATGCAGAAAATTTGGCAAGTTTACACCCACTACAATCTGAAATGTCATGACAATTGAAATTGCCTAAAGCTCTTGTAGAAACTAAATATTTCAAACGAGAACCAGAGACATGACCAAGACGAGAATGCCAAAGATAAAAATTAGACGACTTAGGACTCAGACAAAAAGACGACAAATCAATAGACGAAGCCACCAAGGCAGGAATCTGGAGCTTCTCCAACACATATAATCCTCCCTCTCTACGGCCTGTCCCAATCAGCTTCTTGGAGTGAGGATCCTGTACATAACACGAAGTAGAAGAAAATTGAACAACATAGCCAGAAGCACATAATTGACTAATAGAAATCAAATTCAAGGTGAGTTGAGGAATATAATAGACATCGGATAGACATAGGCTAGAAGTTGTGATAGAGCCAATACCAGCCAATGACATAGAAGTGCCATTGGCAGTCAAAACAGAAATTGACGTGGACAAAGAAGACAATGAAGTAAACAATGACAAATCACTAGTCATATGATGTGTAGCGCCTGAGTCAAAGATCCAAGTGGATGGGGATATACCTGAAGAAGATGAGGAAGGCAAACCTGAAGAATGGGAAATCATGGACAAGGCATTAGGCTGATGGGTAGAACAAAGCTTCTGAAATTGCTCTGCAGTCAGGGACACTGTAGGACTGGCGGAAGATTCGCGATGGGATGAAACAACTGCAGCTGTTGGAGATCGTTTGGGTGGGAAGACTTGCTGTGGTTGGGACTTCTTATTAAGGAGTACAGGACATTGAGATTTCCAATGACCTTTTTCTTTGCAAAAGGCGCATTCATCAGCTGCAACTCTAGGACGTGGCTTATTTTGTGAAGAATGAAAGGACCGAGATTGGGCAGCAAAGACTGTCTGGTTTGGCAAAGGAAGAAGACCCGTGCCAGCATGGGAAGTTAAGCGAACCTCTTCAGCTAATAATTCATTGAGAACAGAATCAACAGAAGGAAGGGGATTACGATGAAGAATAGAACCACGAAGTGCTTCAAAGTCATCTCGGAGAGCCATGAGAAATTGAACAAGGCGCTGCTCTTCTCTGTATGTACAATAAAGATCAATAGAGCTAAGTCCAGAAGGTTCAGTCAGTGCAAGTTGATCCCAAAGTCCAGTCATAACATTATAAAAATCTTGAATGCTTTTATCTCCTTGTTTGGTGGCTCGAAGATCACTTTCTAACTGATAACGTTTAGCAAAGTTGGATCTCTTGTACAATCTTTCTAAGTGTTCCCAAATTTCCTTAGATGTACCAAATTTTGCAAGTTGCATACCAATCGAGATGTCCACGGAATTATTGATCCAAGTGATGATTTTAGAATTTTGCATCTGCCACGTACTCAACAAATCAGCATACTTTTCTGCTTTTTTATCAGATGGGACAACAATATCGCCAGATACATAACCCCACATTCCTTTTCCCATTAGAAAGTTCTTCATAACATAGGCCCAATAAAAATAATTAGCACCATGCAATTTGACGCTGATTGCTTGAAGAGAATCATCTTTTTCACTAGCCATGTGGAAAACAATATAGAAGATACAAGAACCAAAAGCAGCGGAAACCAAAATAGATGAAAAACCAAGAAGACAAGAGTAGACAACACCAGAAAACGCAGCAGCAAATCAACAAGGAAACACAGCAACACGAATCAAGAAGGCATAAGGGGGGAAGAACAAAAAACAGGCAGCAACCCAGGAAGATTGCTCTGATACCATGTGAACAATTCAAGCAGAAGCAGAGAATGCCAATATATTCACAAAACAATTAATTAATATACAGCAGCTGTAAGCTTACAATATATAGGCATATAAAGATGCCCTAGATAAGTAAAAGACCTAACTACCCTTAAAAGACAGAGACTCAAATATATATTAATATTGGCTATACAATTGTCACAATATATAGGTTTTCTATTCAGTGCATAGTTATAAAGAACAACCCCTTATTAAAACTCAAGCCTTTTGGGAATTCTCTATCCAGTCAAGCCTTGTATTGGTATACCAGCTTGCCACCCAATTCTATCCATACTTGGGAACGGATAGAGAATGCTTTTCATGATTACTACCATAGAATCTAGCCTGAAGTCACCATCAGTGATCTAACTACACTTTAAGCAAAGTGAGAATGAGATAGCTCAAAACTTCATTACCAGGTTTAGAAAGTTGAAAATGAAGTGCAAAATCCTATAGAAGAAAGACACTTTATCCATATGGCACAGACATCTCTAAGGATTTCCTTGAGAAAGAGATTCAAAGGAGTAGTGTTTAGAGACTTGACAGAACTGGCATATAAGGTCACCAAGTACGAAGAATTATTGAAGGAAGAACAACATAAGAGGAATGCTTCTAAAGGTACATACTACACAACCCCTTCATCTTCAGTACATTTGGTAGAGATAGAGTCAAAAGAAAAGCCAGAGCTAGAGGAAACTATGGTAGTTATGGCAGAATTGGCTAAAGTAAAAGGTCCTGTAAGCTATAAAGCTTTACTCAAGCCACCAAAGGATCAAAAACCACCACATTTCACTGGAGGTTTCGTTCCGAATAAATAGCCAGCAAACGAAGTGTATTATTTTGATTTATCAAAGTTGGACACTTTGTTTGATGAAATGTTGTCTTAGAAAGCCATAGATATACCACCTGGACACAGGTTACCGAAGGCAAAATAGGAGAAGGGAAGACAATATTTCAAGTGGTATAACTCTTAGAATTACACTACCAACAGTTGTGTCATTTTCAGGGATGTTGTCCAGGAAGCATTAGCCTCGGGAAAATTAAACATAGCAGAGAAAGCTCCTACAATTGATACAGATCCTTTTCCCAAATCTCATGTCAATATGGTTAACCTAAATTGGCCAGAGAAAGAGAACAGAAGTTAACAGTGGAGATAGGTCCAAGTCAAAAACAGGAGAGTTATCAAAGAAGCTCTTATTAGACCAAAGACACATATTATATTTGGAGTTGTTCTTTGTAGCAAATGCAGGTGTGAATGTGAGCTGGAGATAGCCATAAAAGGACAAGTGTTAGATGAGCATTTATCAAGGAAGAAGGATAGTGCCCTAACATGGTTATCCAATCCATCTAAAGAGGTCTATCCAATACAAGAGAGGCAAGAATCCAACATCTTCAGTAGGATTAAGCCAACACAAGTACAGGACAAACTAGAGTATAGTGTTTTTAGAGGCCATAGTAGAGGTCGTGGAAGAGGAAGAGATCGAGGGTGTGATATCCATCGATCACTTGACCAAGAATCAAGGTTTGCCAAATCAAACATTGATTGTTATCGCTGCCACAAGTTTGACCATTTTCAGTATGAATGTGCAGAAAAAAGGGAAAAGTCCAACTTTACAGAAACAGAAGATGAGCTGCTCTTGATGGCATACCTTGAGAAGAAGGAAGTTGCAACTCTTGACAGAGATGAGTCTAAATCGTATTTGTGGTATTTAGATTCTGGGTGCAGCAATCATATGTGTGATAATAAGACCATTTTCTCTGATTTTGATAAAACCTTTAAAAAGACTGTGAAGCTTGGTAACAATTCTAATATCTCTGTTATGGGAAAAAAAGGAAATATCAAATTTCAGTTGAGTAATAACGTTGTGCAAACAATTTCTAGTGTGTTCTATGTCCCAGAATTGAAGAGTAATCTTATTAGCACGGGTCAATTGCAAGAGAAGGGCTATACCATCATTATTCAAAAAGGATGTTGTAAAATTCAACATCCTGAGAAGGGTTTAATTGCAGAAGTCCACATGACAGCAAATCGAATGTTTCCATTGCATATTTAGAATAACATTCAGAATTGTCTCTCTACGAAGGTGCAAGAGTCAACATGGCTGTGGCATTACCGTTATGGGCACTTGAATTTTTTTGGGCTAAGAACATTCCACCATAAGCAAATGGTGATAGTTCTCCCTATGATCACTCCCCCATCCAAAGTTCGTGAAGATTGTGTTGTTAGCAAATGACAGCGTGATGAGTTCCCAAAAGGAAAGGCTTGGAGAGCTCATAATTTGGTGGAGTTGATGCATTCTAACATTTGTGGTCCCATCACACTAGTATCAAATGGTAAAAAGAAATACTTTGTTTCTTTTATCGATGATTTTAGCCAGAAAGCATAGGTGTATTTTTTTGCAGGAAAAATTAGAGGCTTTTAATGTATTTAAAAGCTTCAAATCACTTGTTGAGAATGAAATTGGAAGAACCATTAAGACTCTTCGAACTAATCGTGGTGGAGAATATTGTCCAAAGGAGTTTGAAGATTTTTTGTGTTGAGTGAGGCATTATAAGGCAATTACAACTGCATATACACCTAAGCAAAATGGTGTGTTGGAAAGAAATAATAGAACCATTCTCAACATGGTTAGAAGCTTACTGGTTAAGGGGAGAGTTCCGAAGAAATTCTAGCATGAGGCAGTGTTGTGGTCCATTCATATTTTGAACAGAAGTCCTATTTTTTTCGTTAAAAACATGACGCGTGAGGAAGCCTGGAGTGGAAGGAAACTACTAGTACATCACTTCCAGGTGTTTGGGTGCATAGCATATGAACACATTCTAGATGAGAAGAGGAAGAAGCTTGATGACAAGAGTGAGAAATGCATCTTTCTTGGGGTGGGTGAACCCTCCAAAGCATACAAATTGTTCAACCCCATTACTTAAAAAGTATTTATCAACCGTGATGTGGTATTTGATGAGGAAAGAATATGGGATTGGACTGAAAAAGGCACTGGACAATAGCAAATTCTAGTTGGTTTTGATGAAGCAGAAAATAGAACTGAAATGCAGCAGCAAACCACTAATGAAAACCCCCAAAATTCTTCCATAGTTACAACATCAAATGAGTAGCCACTAGAAAACCAACGTATCAGGAAAAGACTAGCTTATTTGATTCATTATGTAAGTAATGATGAACTCTCTGATGATGATACTGTTGCTCACTTTGCATTATTTGCATATTATGATCCTATCACATTTGAGGGAGCTGTAAAAAAACCAAAATGGCAAGAAGAAATGGATGCTGATATTAAGTCGATTAAGAAAAATGATACATGAGAGCTTTTTAACTTGCCAAAAGGACATAAAACAATGGGTGTGAAATGGGTCTTTAAAACCAAGTTAAATGAGAAAGGTGAGAAAGACAAGCACAAGGCTTGTTTGGTGGCAAAGGGATATGAGCAAGTATATGGTGTTGATTACAAAGAAGTGTTTGCCCAGTCGCAAGACAAGACACTATTCAATTGGTAATCTCTTTAGCTGCTCTAAACTCTTGGCATATTTTTCAATTAGATGTAAAATCTGCCTTCTTACATGGTGAATTGCAAGAACAAGTGTATGTAGAATAGCCCCTAGGTTATATGCAACAAGGCTATGAGGAGAAAGTTTATAGATTGAAGAAAGACTTATATGGCTTGAAACAAGCACCACGAGCTTGGTGCAATCATATAGATGCTTATCTTGCTAAACAAAGCTTTCAAAAGTGTCCAAATGAACATACTTCGTATGTTAAGGATGAGGAAGAAAGTAAAATGCTTATTGTATGTTTGTATGTTTGTATGTTGATGATCTAATCTACACAGGAAGTGGTGAGGATATGTGAAGATTTTTAAATATCTATGATGACAAAGTTTGATATGACATATTTGGCGTTAATGCACTACTTTCTTGGCATAAAAGTAGTACAATCAGCAGCTGAAATTTTTATTTGTCAAAAGAAATACATCCAGGAGGTTGTGGAAAGATTTCAGATGCCGAATTGCAATCCAGTTGGAATACCAACTGAAATAGGATTGAAGTTGAGTAGAGATCTTGATGGTGTAAGAGTAGACACCACTTTTTACAAACATTTTGTTGGAAGTCTGATGTATTTGGCTTCAACAAGACCTGATATCATGTATGTCGTGAGTTTGATACGTCGATATATGGAGAATCCAACTTAGTTGCACCTTAGGGCAGCAAAGAGAATTTTTCGTTACTTAAATTGCACAACTAATCTCGGGATACTCTATAAAAGGGGAGAAAAGCCAAGTTTCTTTGGTTTTACGTACAGTGATTATGTAGGTGATATTATTGATAGAAAAAGCACTTCTGGGCATGTGTTCTTGATGAGTTCAAGTGTTGTTTCGTGGTCCTAAAAGAAGCAGTAGGTTGTGACACTATCCACTACTGAAGTTGAGCTTATTGCCGCTGCTTCCTGTTCCTGTCAAGCCATTTGGGTTAGGAAAATGCTTGAAGATTTTTGCCATCAGCATCAAGGTCCAACAGTAATATTATGTGACAATGTTTCTGATATTAAGTTGTCAAGGAATCCAGTTATGCTTGGAAGAAGCAAATATATTGATGTTCGTTACCATTTCTTGCGTGATCTGTGCAAAGATGGTGTAATTGAGTTAGAATTCTACAAAAGTGAAGACCAAGCAGCTGATATCAGTTAAAAGGAGGGCATCAACACTGGACTGAAGATGATGTTTGATTCCTAAACTATTTTAGGCAGAAATCAGTTTAAGCGAGGGTGTTAAGGTTTCAAGTTGTTTTTTTATTTAAATAAATCTCTTCTCTTTGGGAGATGGTTGTTTGTTTTACCTATTCTTTTGGAGAATCCCATAGACTTAGGAGTTGTTAGTCATGGGATAGTTGTTGCTTGTTTTTCTGCACGTTTCGTTTCTTGTAAGTCTATTTAACTCAGACTTCTAGTTAATGAATTATTATTGCATTCAACGTATTTTGTTTTAGTAGTCTGTGATAAACCTTATTATTCAACATGCATTTGTTGATGAATTTGAGAAAATTGATTTTTTAGATTATCCATTTTCCAAATGAGAGAAGATTATTAGCACAAAACGAAAATAAGCTTATAGGATTAGTATTAGAATTAGAATAATACTTCCAAGCTTGTTTAAATAATTTATGGAAATAATGGTCATGTAGCCAATGCTCTTTAAACTGAACCGAGTTTTGAGAGTTAACAGTTTGTACCTCTATATATATATATTTAAAAAAAGACAATTATGAAAAATATAATCTAGAAGAGCCCCCCTTTTGTAGAAATGTCACCTAAAATTATACCTCAGTTTTAATTTGTCACCTTAAAAAAAAATGTCATCCTAATTTTTCAAAATCCATGATTTGTCATCTAACTTTAACGCCATCCAATTTTCCATCTAATTTTCCATCCATTTCAAGGGTATTTTAGTCTTTCCATTTTCTAGGAAAAAAAAAGAGAAAAAAGATCTCTCTCTCTCCCTTTCTCCCCCACCCCAACCCCACCCGCCCCAAAAACACATCACACAGGACCTCCCCTCCCCCTCTCTATCTCTCGCTCTCTCTGAGCATGATAAGGTACCCATACTCCCACATATATTAGTCCACCCCTCGCAAATTTTATAAGCTACATAACCTATATACTCCCACAAATGAAGCTATAGACACTAAGGGCATGTTTACGTATAAGTAATAGAGAAACTAAGGAATCATAGAATTTAGGAATCGGAGAATTACTGAATCGATATGGGAAGAATCATTCCCATTAAGCTGTTTACTAAACATATGGAATTAGCAATGGAATGGGATTGATTCCCATTGTTATTGTTTACTAATTTGCATGAATCAGAATCCAAATTAATTTTAGAATTATGGTAAAGTGATAAGGGTATTTTTGGAAGTTATTAAGAGAAAACAGGAATGAGAATCGTATCAACTACTCCCCCCTAGTTGATCTGATTCCTAGTTTTGAGGGAATGTGATTACGGATTTTGAGGTGGGGCCCACTTATTTTTTCATTCTTGATTGCAAGTAAACGCAGGAGAAGTCAGGAATGGAAATCATTCCCTTTCCTCTCATTCCCATTACTGATACGTAAACATGCCCTGATTGTATTTTATTCCACAAAGCCAAGAATGAACTTGTTTGGATTCTAAATTCTGTAGACCAATTGAAGAATCTATTATAATATAGAAGAAGCCAAAGAAACAAAAATTTAGCCCAGCCCTATATAAATTCATGGTTCCTCCCTTCTTTGGGTGGGCTGAGGGAATTTGTGTGTTCCATGGGAGAGAGAGGAGGACGGGGAGAGGGAAGGGAAATGGAGACGGGGTTGTGAAGAGGGAAGGGGGAATGGATTTCAAGGTGGGTGGGGTTGTTTAGAGGCATGATGGCGCACAGGGGATGGGGGAAATTGAGATTTTTTGTTTTCAATTTTAATTTTTTAAGAGATATACAAATTTTATATAATGATTTTTCCATTTTAAAAATACCTTTGAAAGTGGAAAGACTAAAATACCCTTAAAATTGGATGGAAAATTGGATGGTGTTAAAGTAAGATCACAAATTATGGATTTTGAAAAATTAAGGTGACATTTCTCTTAAATTTTTATTTAAGGTGACAAATTGAAATTGAGGTATAAGTTCATGTGACATTTCTACAAAAATCCCTTACTTTGTAATATATTATTAAAATCCCCAATAATAAGTGTTGGCCTGCGGACTTATCTGGTTCCAGATTTGTAATTGTAAGTGTTTTTGGGGATTTTGGTAAAGCCAACAAACATAGAAAAAGGTAACTGAAGATTTGTGTCCCAAATTTCAGTTATGATAAAACGGTCATGCAAGAAATTAACTGTTAAAGATAAATTTTGATCATTCCATATAACTACAATTCCACATGAGAAAAGCCAAAATGATATAACCCAGTTAAACTTTTAACATAGTTATTCAGTTACCCCGAAATATGAGGAAAAAAAACTTAAAAAAGAGCCCCCAATAAAAAATTATAATAAGAAAAAAGAAGAGAGGGAAGGAGGGAGGTAAAAAAAAATAATAATAACAGAGCAGGCAGGGATGTGATCACCAAGTTAAAAGTTTATGTTGACTAATGAAGAAATAACAGAGATACAGATTGTTTGTGCAAATAATCTCACGGGAGAATATTCGCTTCTAGATCCTTCAACCTTCGATCTTCCTTCTCTCTCTTCCTCGATTCCTGTAAAACAGATTGGAGTAAATAGACCACACCCGGGGGGTGTTGGCCAAAGGCCCTCCGATGCCTAAGTTAGTTCGAGTGTTTGTAGGAAAACAATAGCTAAGCAAAGGGTACGGAGTAGTGTTTATGTAGGGTGTGAACCAGGCGGCCGGAGCCGTGTGTGGTGGCCGGAGCCGTGTGGAGAAAATATGGAGAGTGGAGAGGGAGAAAGAGAGAGTTTCGGGTATTTTTCTCGGGTATAAGGAGTAGGTTTAGATGTACCTTGAATGATGAATGAAGTCATCTATTTATAGGAGCCTCGGGGCTAGGGTTTCGTAGAGAATATGCTGAGTTTATTCTCTACCCAAATTCGTAGGGATCGAGTCGGACTGAGATAATATCTGATTTAATGATATTATCTCTTTTTATGGAGATAATATCTGAATTAAATGATATTATCTCTTTTTATGAAGATAATATATGAGATAATGACATTATCTTCTCTTTAATAGGATAATATCTTAATTAATGATATTATCTTATTAAATAAAGATAATATCATGTTAATTAAGATATTTATCCCAATTAATTAATTGGCCAGATAAACTGGTTCAATTAATTAATTAAAAGAGATAATCTTCTTTTCCACGTGGCGCGCTGTGATTGGAGACGAAAATATTTGCTCCCACAAATGCCCCCCAGCTTCTGCATGGCGCTTGTGTGGCATGTAGGAGATGAAATTATTTTTTTCGGGCTCTCCAACTGAGTCTGGGCTTTCTTCTGTGAGTTGGACTCCTTTTGCAGATCGGATTCTCAATTGGTGTAGGCTTCTGACTGTTGTTGGAGTTGGATTCCCAGTAGGAAAGAGCTTGAGATTCCTTCTTGACCCGGGTTGTCCAACTTGTATAAATACAGGGCTTCTCTTCACTCTTTCTTACATCGCAAACTTAACTTCTCTACTTTCTAGCTTGAGAAAGATCTTGGAGAATTTTGTACTGCTTGTCGAAGAGAGGAGTTGCCGTGCATCCCAAAGTAAGTCGAGCACGTAAATTTTCCTTCGTCTTCTTTTTTTCAAGGCGAGGACCAGTTGGGTGGGACCAGGTTGGTTGTCATCGTTACTGGCAGCCAAAGACGATTGGAGCGGCGGTGGCTGCTGGTGGCTGCTGAGCAACGATTAGGAGGAAGTTGGTGGACTGCCCCTGCTAAGGATGTCAATAGATGGAAGCAGGATGGTCCGAGCCTTAATGATCTGCCTGCTGGACATGAGGAGTGTTTTGCTAAACTCCCCTAAAAAAGGAAGGCTGATGTCAAGTCTTCGAGAGCTCAAGCCTGATGAGTTTGGAGATCGTGATATGCTCAGTAAAGTAGTCCGTGCACGATCTAGCTCACTTGTTGAGAGGCAAAGAGATGCGGATGCTCCTTTTCGAAATTCGAGTCGTTTGTACCAGTCGAAGATTGGAAGTCGATCTGGGCAGTCTGCTCATCCATCCAACCATCATGTTTCAACTGTTGAGTCATGAGCAGTCAAGCATGGAGTTGATTCGACGTCGCAAATTCCTTTGGAAGTGAGGTTGGCGGAGGCTAGGAAAGCAAGAGAGTCATCTGCCCGGACAAAAGGTTCTTCTGTAACGTCAGCGACTGATCCAAAGGTGGACAAATCTAGCCCTGCAGGGGATGCAGGCGTGTCTGATCTGCTAAAGACGCAATTTCTATCAAGTCCATCCTCTTGTGCTGAGCTGGTTGACCAAATCCGTCAGGCTGGCGATCTTGGTACTTTTTCAAGTCTTTCCTTGGAAAAGCAAAAGGAAGCGACACTTCATCTGCTTCAAAAGGGAATAGTTTTTGCTGCTGAGACCATTCGGAACTCGTCTGCTGTTGCCCCATCTTCTGTTCAGCTCAGCGAGTTGGAGAAGAAGAATGCCGAGTTAGTTAGCAAACTTTCCGCCGAGCAGACCCGTTATGAGAAGAAGACGTCTGATTTGCGGGCGATGATATCTGAGTTGAAGAGCTCCCTTGCTGAGAAGGATTCCGAGCTTAACTCTTCTGCTGCTGACTTGGCAAGTCGAAAAGATGCTTATTTCCACCTTGAGCGCAAGAATGCCGACATCTCTCATAGCTATGACAAGCTTTTAGCTAGACTTCACGCCTACCATGAGTCTGCTGAGGAATCCAAGTCCGAAGTTGCCATGGACGCGTACAAGTTGGGCTACCTGGACTGCACAAGAGGATATGATCCCTTCTACGCCATTGGAGATGAAGACATCGAGATGCTCTATCCAGACTTGCCCCCTGCGCAAAGTGAGAAGGCTAATGCTGTGAACATCGAAGGAGCTGAAGAGCAGGTGACTAAAGAGGCGATAGCTGAGGAGGATGGAGCAGAGGAGGATGCAGCCGATGAGGTGGTGGCAGACGTCATAGATCAGGCATGTGGAGCTGCTGAAAGCGTGGCTGTTCAGGCGGACGCTGAAGAGGTTGTAGATCAGGGATCTCCTGCTTGCGCTTCGGAGTAGACGAAGACTCCTTTATTTCTTTTCAACTTTTGTAGTCTGCTTTTGTTTAGAATAATTGGTCTTGTTTGACCATCTTCTTTTGTTTGAACTTGGCCGGTTGGTCGCTTTGCTATGAAAATTTCAGTCTTTATTTTTCAACTTCAATTTGCATATTGTCTTGTGAACTGCTTGAGTAACCGGCTAGTGTCTTGATTGCACATCTCCTTTTGGAGATTCATGAGTGTCAGGGTTCCTCTTGAAGGACTTCATACGTGTTCTGCATATCTCTTAGGTTGGCTTGGTCGTCGCCCTGCGTCTCCCGAAGGACGCTGCTTATGGGCAACTGTGTGACTATCCTGCCTCCCTTAGGAAACGGATAGGAACCTGGATACTTCCCGCAAGAGGCATGGAGACCTCCTTTTAAGAAATTCCTGGCGCACCCTGCGTCTCCCTTAGGACGCTTTTTTAGTGGGCTGCGTCTCCAAACGGACGCTTTTAGTCGTCGCCCTGCGTCTCCCTTAGGACGCTCCTTATGGGCAACTATATGACTATCCTGCTCCCCTTAGGGAACGGATAGGAACCTGGATACCTCCCTTAGGAAATTCCTGGCGCACCCTGCGTCTCCCTTAGGACGCTTTTTATGGGCTGCGTCTCCCGAAGGACACTTCTGGTCGTTGCCCTGCGTCTCCCGAAGGACGCTGCTTATGGACAACTGTTGTGTTTTGTGGGTAGATGATATTTCTCCAGATGAATCGCTCCACATCGGCTTCTTTAGTAGAGGATAGAGCTTCGGCCTCGATCCATTTAGTAAAGTAGTCGGTGGCGACGATCATCATTTCTTTCTTGGCAGGCGCCGGTGGCAAGGGACCCACTAAGTCGATGGCCCATTGCATGAATGGCCATGGACTGTTTTGCGGATGGTAAACTTCGGCAGGCAGATTAGGGATCGGCTTGTATCGTTGGCAACGATCACATCTTTTGACATATTCAGCAGAGTCGTGGCGCATGGTAGGCCAGAAATAGCCTACGTTCAGAGTTTTCTGGGCGAGTGACCTGCCCCCTGAGTGGTTGCCACACTCGCCATCGTGAATTTTGCAGAGGACTTCAAGTGTTTGAGGGTACTTTATGCAGGTGAGATGAGGGCCGGAGTATGATCTACGGATGAGCTTGCTGCCGTGCATATAGTATCTCGCGGCCTTCTGCTGGACCTTCCTAGCTTCGGACTTATCCGTTGGCAGGTTTCCATTCACCAAGTAGTCGATGATGGGGTCTTGTCAGCTGGGGTCCTCATCAATCTGCATTGAGTCGATCGGCTCTATTTCTTCGATGCTTGGCCGGTCAAGGTGTTCAACTGGGATGGAGCGTCTGAATTGGGTGTCCAGTGCTGATCCTAGGCTCGCCAACGCATCTGCATGAGTGTTCTCTGCCCGTGGAATTTGTTGGATGGTGAAAGTAGGGAATTCTTTCAAAAGTCCTTGGGACTTTGTCGAGGTACTGGACCATTCTTGGATGCTTTGCCATGTACTCGCCTGAGGCTTGATTCGTGATCAGTTGGGAGTCTGAGTAGATGGCCAGTCTCTTGATCGACAGTTCTTTCGCTAGGCGTAGTCCTGCAAGCAGTGCCTCATATTCTGCCTCGTTGTTTGAAGCAGAAAAGCCTAGTGTGATAGCTTGTTCCAACAAGGTTCCGTCTGGGGTGATTATGACGACTCCTGCTCCCGCTCCTTTGTGATTTGATGCTCCGTCTACATGCAACTGCCACATGTCGTTAGGTAGGTTCGAATCGGTGGGGGAGGTGTCGTCCGCTTTTTTCCTTGCTTTTCGTGACACCATCTTCTCTTCTTCGGCTGTCGGAGTAAACTCTACAACAAAATCTGCTAAAGCTTGGGCTTTTATAGCAGTCTTCGGCCGGTAGAGGAGGTCGTATTGACTGAGTTCGATAGCCCATTTCATGAGTCGCTGAGAAGCGTCGGGGCTGTGAAGGATCGATCTCAAAGGAAATTCTGTTATGACAATTATCCGGTGTGCTTGATAGTAGGGCCTTAACTTTCTCGCAGAAACCACAAGCGAAAAAATGAGCTTCTCCATTTTCGGATAGCGAGTCTCTGCATCGAGGAGAGCTTTTGAAGTGTAGAATACCGGATGTTGTGCCCCCAGCTCTTCTCGGATGAGAGCTGAGCTGACAGCTGAGTGGGACACCGCTAGGTAGATGTACAAGTCTCGCCTGGTATCGGTTTTGAGAGCAATGGAGGTGAAGTGAGGTAAGTTTTCAAGTTTTGAAAAGCTACTTCACACTCGTCATCCCACTTTCCTTGTGTCCCTTCTTCAAGGCTTTGAAAAATGGCCTGCATTTGTCGGTAGATCTAGAGAGGAATCGGTTGAGAGCTGCCGCCCTACCCGTTAGACTTTGTATCTCCTTTGTTGTGGCAGGTGACTTCATGTTGAGTATAGCCTTGATTTGATTTGGATGTGCCTCAATTCCTCTTTGGGTGACTAAGTATCCAAGGAATCGGCCGGACGAGACTCCAAATGTGCATTTGCTCGGGTTCAACTTCATGTTGTATTTTCGGAGTATGCTGAATGCCTCGGCAAGATTCTCGATGTGGTCTGCTCGCTCGGGAGCTTTGACTAGCATGTCGTCTACGTAGACCTCCATAGTCTTGCCGATTTGCTCCTTGAAAATTTTATTCACCAGCCTTTGGTAGGTTGCCCCGGCGTTCTTCAGCCCAAAGGGCATGACCTTGTAGCAGTAGGTACCTCTTTCGATGATGAAAGAGGTCTTTGCCTTGTCGTCTTCATGCATCATGATCTGGTTGTAACCGGAGTAGGCGTCCATGAAGCTTAGCAGTTGATTGCCGGAAGTTGAATCGACGAGCTGGTCAATTCTCGGCAGTGGAAAGTTATCTTTAGGACATGCCTTGTTGAGGTCAGTATAGTCGACGCACACTCTCCACAGGCCTTTATCTTTCTTTGCTACTAGAACAACGTTCGCCAGCCATTCTGCGTATGAGACTTCTTCAATGAAACCGGCAACTAGAAGCTTGTCGATCTCGGCTTCAATGATGGCGACTCGCTCGGGGGCGAAGTTGCGTCTCTTCTGCGCTACAGGCTTGATGGCTGGGTTGACGTGTAGGCGATGGCAGATGATCTGGGGATCGATGCCAGGCATGTCAGATGGTGACCATGCAAATACGTCTTTGTTGTTCTGGAGGAAGGCTACAAGCTCTGCCTTTTCCTCCTGGCTTAGGCGCGAGCCGATCCGCGCTGTTCTCTCTGGCTTGTCAGGATCAAGGGGTACTAGCTCAACGTCCTCCTCGGGCTTCCATCCTTCTTCAGGATAGACCTCCGGACGGATTCCCTCAACTTGGTCCTGATTCTTTGATTGCTATTGGGGAGTAGTTATTCCCTTTCCTTTTGGCCTGCTCGGCCGTCAGAAACGGGATCTGCTTCCTCATCTGCTTGTTCTACTCCCCTTTAGATCTGCTTGATTCACAGGGAGGAACTGTGTTTGCTTGCCTTCTTTCAGCCCTTGAGCTGAGCATTTCCTCGCCATCGCCTGATCGCTGTGATTTGGCCGATCCCACCCAAAGGAATTGGGTAGCGAATCTTCTGATGCGTGGCGGAGGTGATGGCATTGATCTTGCTGATCCATGGTCTGCCTAGAATGCCATTGTAGGGTGAGACTTCATCAATGACCATGAACGTTTGAGAGCTGATTACAGGTGGGGCGTAGACGTCGAGCTCTATCGTGCCACGGTAACCGTTGTTGCTCCATTGAAACCAGTCAGTGACTTGGCTGATTTATTGATCTTTGCCTCTAAGCCCATCTGTTGGATAACTGTCAATTGTAGGATGTTGGCCGCACTGCCCTCGTCTGCATGGATTCGGGCGACCATGGCCTGAGCGATTTGAATGCTGATGACAAGAGCGTCATTGTGTGGTAGATCAAGGCCAATTAGATTTCTTTTGGAAGCCGATTATAGGGTCGTCTTCTGCTAGCGGAATGTCGGTTGAGACTTGGGAGATCATAGTGGCTTGTTTGATCTTCCTTTTTTTTCCTTGCTGGTCAACCCAGATTCCTCGGAGTCGGCTAGGATTGTGTTAATCCTTATGACCTTTTGGGCGGCTGCTCCTTGGCGGTGTCGCGGTCCTCTATCTGTTGGGATGGCCTGCTTAGCGATGAATTCTGTGCAGTGACCTTCCTCACGAGTTCTTCGAGGTGTGCTTTCCAAGCGAAGCAGTTGTTCGTAGTGTGTCCATGCGTCCCATGGAAGGCACAGTATTTGCTAGTATCCCTCCTGTCGGATCTCCTTTCAAGGGTGGCGGTCTTCTTACCCAAGGTTTGTTTTTCACTTGGGCTAGGATTTGATGTATAGGGATAGTGAACTTGGTGTAGTTCTCTCCTGCCTTAGCGTCCTCTTGTGGGTGTGACCTGCGCTTGTCCTTATTCTTGTTGCTAAAATCCATCGCTTCTTGGCCCGCCCGCTTGGTCTGCCGATCTCCCTGCTCAGTGGACTTCTTCGCGGCAATTCGATCGTCATCCCAGAGCGCGTAGCGTCTGCGGTCGCGAAGACCTTGCTTAAAGTCTGGCTGGAGTGATAGTCAGCTCCGCGGGAGATCGTGTGTTATGCTGGAAGACCTTTCTGAATGGGCAGATGTGCGATTAGGGTCGCGCACCCTACGCGGTTGGTTGAGCCTTTGCTTTTCCCTGCTGAAGCTTGATGTACTTCTCGAAATTGGATTTGTCGGGCTTCTGCGCAGGGTTGAACAGATGATCTGGGTTCTTCTTGACGTACGATAAAGAAGGGTAATCTTGTGAAGACTAGGCAAGCCCATTGAAACGGTTGAGACCCAGATGGCCGGGTGGAACCAGTCCTGAGCGCTCCTGCAAGTAATTGAGATGCCTTGCCATCCGGGCGGGCGCCTGTGGAGGATAATGACATTTGAAGTGGGTTGAGGTGGCTCTGGGATGGATCTCCTGAAATGGTAAAGAATGCTGTTTTGAGAATATGCTGGTGTCGGGAGTAGCTGCCGATTGAGGGGGAAAGGAGTAGAGTAGCGATCGCTTGGTCCATCTCTAAGTAGTGAATGCATACGAGGGGTTCCCGCGAGACAGAATATCGAAGTCGGTATCAAGCTTTCGCAAATCTAGCACGCGCAGGCTGGTCAGACAAGTTGGCGCGCGGTTAGATTTGAGCGACGGGATGACCGCGCGTGGTCTGCAAGGGTTCGGTCTCTCGTCCACAAGCCTAGGAGGTTGTGGTGGAGGCGATTGCGAGGGATTTCTGCAGATTGACGGCGAGAAGAAGAGTAGGTTCTACGAGAAGCGGGCACAAGGAGGGCCTTCACGAGACCTCATGCGCGGTTACGGAGTTAACCTCCCTGGGAGCATAGCCTTATCGACATCTTGCGACCTACAACAAACAACAGAAACAGTTTTTTTTTTTTTTTTTTTTTTTTTTTTTTTTTTTTTTTTTTTTTTTTTTTTTTTTTTTTTTTTTTTTTTTTTTTTTTTTTTTTTTTTTTTTTTTTTTTTTTTTTTTTTTTTTTTTTTTTTTTTTTTTTTTTTTTTTTTTTTTTTTTTTTTTTTTTTTTTTTTTTTTTTTTTTTTTTTTTTTTTTTTTTTTTTTTTTTTTTTTTTTTTTTTTTTTTTTTTTTTTTTTTTTTTTTTTTTTTTTTTTTTTTTTTTTTTTTTTTTTTTTTTTTTTTTTTTTTTTTTTTTTTTTTTTTTTTTTTTTTTTTTTTTTTTTTTTTTTTTTTTTTTTTTTTTTTTTTTTTTTTTTTTTTTTTTTTTTTTTTTTTTTTTTTTTTTTTTTTTTTTTTTTTTTTATGAGAAATTCATCCTATTTATCTGTCCTTGGAACTTAAGTAATTTGCCTCCCCACTATTCAACTTTAGTATTGATAGCTTACTAATTGTCTTCCCAGCTACTCAACTTAAACTATATACTGTAGGGTTTCTAATTTCTAATCAAGTTTCCAATGCTTGCTAATTGTGAGATTTTTTTAAGGTGAGAGACAGTTAAAGAAAACTTTATCAAATTAATACAATTATCTTCTAATCAGAGTCAGACTCTCCATATATAGTGCAGACTAAAAGAAACACACCCCTCACTGGTTCATCAGGTGTACTCAAGGTGAGCAGCCCTGGAATTCTTGTCCTTGTTGACCATAAGAACACTATCAATCTATTGGTAGTCTTTAATGAAAATGTCTTGTTCCTGTTAGTTGGAAAGAGTCAATTTCCCCTCTCATTCTCTCTGAGTTTCTAATTTTTTTTGTTTGGCTTGGTTCCTGGCATTACATGGTAGTCTTTAACCCACCAATGAATTCTCTAGGTGTGGCTGCATCAAGGATGAAGCCTCCCCTAAAGAAAGAAACCTCAATGAAGCTTTTGAGGGCACCTAAATAACTTGATATATGTAAATATGTAAAACAGCAGCCATGACAAAACAGTGCATTCAGAACATCAACATAGGATGCAAAAGCGATCCCACAGGAAGATTTAAGTTGAAAACAAACAAACCACACATATTCTCAAGCAACATTTTTCTGATCAACTTCTAATACCAAACAATATATTAACTCTAATTCAAATCACAACATGAGTTGTTGAAATCATGATAGAATACACATATGTAACATCTTAAAAGGAGAAGTTACCCACTTCCAAGGAGCATCTCGAGCAGGAAGATTCGAAGGCTTTAGACTGAGACTAGCAAAATATTCATGAGATCTCTTTCTTCACTATCTGCATGATTATGTTCAACAGCACAAGTGTTACCACATAAAGGAAGGAAGGTAGGTTCAATAAATGACAAGGCAATAAAATTACCAACCACAGTCACAAGTGTGCTACAATTTCAATGTTGTGAAGATATATACTCTTAACTTGTTAGGAAAGAATTGGACACCCAAAAATAACACCTAAATATATTACCAATTTTATTAAACTTAAAAGAAGACTTAAAGTATAACCAATTCTGCAGTTCCAAAATAAATAAAATAATAATTTGTAAGTCATATCCCTTGCCTGGAGTGGAAATAGGTGATGGGTGCCTCATTGTTGAACTGTGTGTGGCTCCTTTACTATTTTGGATTCCATCTTATAAGAAGTTTCACCAATTAACTAAGACATCCGTTAATTGCTTCTCCCCAATATGCTCATTTCCAGAAGCTACGGAAGTCTTTGTTTCTCCTATAACTGAGATAAGAAATCATAAGCATTGTACATATAGCATCCATTTACCATAGGAATAAAATGCCATCTTCACACTTTTAATAACACATAAAAAATATTCTGAACAAAAAACAGCTGAGTATATACAACAAGTCTGTCTCAACACTTTCACTATCCCAATTCTATTGCATGAACTATACAATAAGAGCAATTTATAATTTTTCTTTTTGTAAGAAACACAAATTTAAGTTACAAACTTCCATTAAAACAAAGAAAGAGAATCGTGATGCAGAAGACACTGTTGATAATAATAGTGAAGATTATTGTACCATTCCTTATACTCAGTTCTGATGATTTGACTTCAGTAGCAGCCAAAGTTGCATCTACTAGATGGTCACTGGACTGGAACCATATTCCTTTGAATTCTGCTAACCACGAGGGGCCTTGCTTCTGACGAAGACATAAGAGCAACCAATTGCACCACTAAGAGTATATCAAAAAGCAAAAACTTTCACTATCTAGCATGTACTCAATCATCCATATATACATGGGGAGAATGGAGATTATGCGGTTCATAGAATCAAAGCACGATAGGTAAAATGGAGGGTTTTGTTAAGCATATATATAGTGTGATCATCATATTTTGCTAGAATTGAAAGCTAAGTTTATAGAACATCTGTTAGACCAGCCATGCTATATGGGACTGAATGCTGGACAGTTAGAAAACAGACATATTCATAGTTCCTGTAGGTACATATTAGCCGAATGTTACAACCAGCACAGTGATATGCACACCTCTATCGCTGTTTCTCTAACAGCATATTAGCCATTATTAGACACAAATTGTTAAGAGATCAGATTAAAATATTTGTCACCTTTCGAATCCTTCAAAATTGGAGATGTTTGCTGAATAATCTTTGCTATCCTTCAAAATCGAAGGGTCATTGCCTCAACCTTAAAAGCCAGGTTTTTATAGTGAAATGGATGTCAATGAACTCGAGGTCAATCCTTCTTCTAAAGCATTTTCAGCTAATGAAGTCACAGTCCCTTTACACTAGGGGAGGCTCGATAAACGATATTTCATGTTGGTATGTTAATCTGGTGCTTTTGAAGTCAGATTGAAAAGTTAAATATAATGAAGAGATTCCCAACCCATGCGTTAGGAAATGCACCCTCTAATTTTTTTTATTTGTTTTCTTCAGAGTTGAGGTGGAGTTCACACAACAAAAACACAGATGCTGTTTTTTTTTTTTTTTTTTTTTTTTTTTTTTTTTTTTTTTTTTTTTTTTTTTTTTTTTTTTTTTTTTTTTTTTTTTTTTTTTTTTTTTTTTTTTTTTTTTTTTTTTTTTTTTTTTTTTTTTTTTTTTTTTTTTTTTTTTTTTTTTTTTTTTTTTTTTTTTTTTTTTTTTTTTTTTTTTTTTTTTTTTTTTTTTTTTTTTTTTTTTTTTTTTTTTTTTTTTTTTTTTTTTTTTTTTTTTTTTTTTTTTTTTTTTTTTTTTTTTTTTTTTTTTTTTTTTTTTTTTTTTTTTTTTTTTTTTTTTTTTTTTTTTTTTTTTTTTTTTTTTTTTTTTTTTTTTTTTTTTTTTTTTTTTTTTTTTTTTTTTTTTTTTTTTTTTTTTTTTTTTTTTTTAAGAGAGAATGACATGATTTGAATTCCCACTATAAGTGTATTGCAAGTACCCTTCTGCTCGGGAAAGACAGTTAACAAAGAGAGGTTACGTTGGAAGCAAAACATAAACTTTCTAGTTGTTGAGTTTGCAAAGAAGGATGCCCTAGAAATTTTGAAATTATGTGGCCTACTTCCATTAGTTTATACTTTATAGTTATTAATTTGCTAGTTTCAACATATCCAAAGCAGATATTGAAAAAATGGAAATTTCACACTAAATCAATCTGAGAGTTCATTATTTTTTTCTTCTTTTTTTTTTTTTTTTTTTTTTTTTTTTGTTTTTGTCTGCCTTGGACTCATTCTCTTGAGTGCTACATGTGTATTTTAACGAGTCTTTAAGATGTGTACAGAAAACGGAAGTATTATTGAAAAACACGTATGTATAATACAAGTATTAAACGGGAAATTGTTAAATTCTTTATACGGGTAATAACTCTGGAAATGTAAAAAAATCAAAAGGGGATTATAGAGACTCGAGTAATGGCCTATAGTAATGGATAATGCTCTAAAGGAAAATATGGGAAATTTTTTTTTTTAAAAATAAAAAAGGGACCCCAATACAGCCGAACGGCTATACTCTTTGAATATATTACATTTAATCGTCTAGCCGCACGGCCATACTATTTATTTAAAATTTTTTAAAAAATACCACAGTATAGCCATATGGCCATACGATTTATTAAATTAAATGAAAATAAAAAAAAAGGATCCGACTAATAGCACCTAGTCAGCCGATTTTTTAAATTTATTTTTTAGCCGCCATAGCCGCAGCACGGTTATACTTCATGCGGAGGTTGTGGCTGCTTGCTTTCTAAGGTAAGGTACGAACTAGTGCTGGTAAGTGAACGAACCTGTGAATTCTCGCTAAGACGTGTACAAAAAAGGGAAGTATTATTGAAAAATACATACGTATGTGTATAATATGAATATTAAACGGGAAAATGCTAAATTCTTTATACAAGTATTAAACGGGAAAATGCTAAATTCTTTGTTTGGCCTGGGTGATCATTGTAGTTTATAATCGTCATAAACTACCATTTTCTTGTAGGATAAACTACCATTTGCAAACCAGTGATCTATAACAAATATCCAAAAGCAATTCATGCACAAGCACCAATTGATCATCATATAAATTCCCAAAGAAGAAAAGGCTTGTAACTCACAGGTTAAGTAGCTTAGATGGTGCGCGGACGTAATACAGTTAATGCCTCTTTTCACTGCCACTGGCATTCAGATAACAAAAGAAGATGCTGCAAAATTGACAACTTCCATTCCCACTCTTCAAATGTTTAGAAATTGACGCTCTCCACTCCAATGCTTGTCTTCCACCCCTACTTACGCCATCACTTAGAGCATGATCTAGTTCAGTTATAAACTTATAGTTGAAGGAAGACAGTGATGTAATATATCTAGTAGTTTCCCCGTGAAAGATACATCTAATTTGTTTCCCTCTTCACGTGTTAGATCAGTATGCTCTGAAGCACATGTGTAATGTGATTCAGAATAGCTCCATGGTGAGGCACAATGAGCCAAATTGAGAGAAAGATCATCCATATGTAAAAGCGAACTTATGACATTCGCCATCATGATCTGCATCATTACAGAAGCATTATAAAATAATTACAATGAAGAACAGGAAAAAAGATGCAACAAACTAATAAAACTGATGACATCACAAACAAATTGAGAGCATTTAGATTTCAAAGGAAAACATGAAACTTCAAAGTAAAATTGAACAAAATACCAAAAAGCAATCCATTTAGCAATTGCTATTTCTCTAGCATCAGAACATGAATGATAAATAATTTGTTTTGCATGCATTTTTTGGTGACTATATTTTACACAAAACAACTTTCAAAGACAACAAACAACAGATTTGCCCGAGGAAACATGTTAGACCTGTAATTGCAAGTTGAACTTATCTGGCATAAACATGAGAAAATAACAGTTTTAACAACCACAAAAAGGAGGTACGATTGAAAATGTTAGGCTAAAAGAAAACCATATTCAGAATAGACTACCTTGCGAGGGATGTCATTGACAGCCTCCAAATGGTTCTGTAGATCTTTCAAATGGTCAAATGCAACTTGATGAAAACTTTTTCTATCACTACTCATAGTCTTTCCATCACTCCAACCGCAAGAACAGCTAAATCTAGAGCATACCACATGTGCATAAGTTCAATATCCTGCATCCTACCATATAATAAAATAGAACAGAGAAACGCGAAACCATCAACATGTGAAGAAAAGCATGTCAAATCCCAAAATGACAAAAATATGAAATACATTGAGTGCAAAATTCGTTTGCAGATCTAATTTAAGGGTTGGAGAAATCCATTTTCGGGATTGGGGCATAATTCTCCCTTGGATGCATAATGCATTGGCCTTCTTCCATTTCATTCCCCTCCACCTCCCCGCCCCCTGCACACACACACACACACACACAACAAAAAAGACTCCCACAAACTTGCGAGTTACAACACAATATGACAGTATTATTAAATTAACGTATCAAACCTAACAGAAATATTATAATAGCTTCTCTTGGGGCGTGTTTGTTAAAGCATTTCAAAGACTACTTTAGTGTAACTCATGTTGATTAGACAGAGTTTTGGGCTGAATGTAATCTGATTTCATATGTCATGTCATGATTGTTGGTCTGATTTTGATGGTTTTCTACAAGATATCTTTGAAGACGAAAAGAACAAAGAAATAGTTTTCCTTTCTCTGTTTACTTTCTAGCCCATCTTTCTTGTAGGTTTTCTTTCTCTGTTTTGAATAAGATACAGTTTTCCTTGTCAAAACAACAAAGAAATAGACCAGAACAAGATTATTTTGAGGATTTTGAGGACTTACTCGAAGTGGACTTTGATTTCCAGTATGAAATTCTCAACAAAATTAAGGGTCTAACAGGTGATCTTGCGTGCTATTTGTTTTTTAGCAGACAACATCAACGATAATTTTCAATTGCATACTTGACCATAATTGACGCAGGCAACAGAAGAGGAAAGATCAAGCCGATAACACAAAGAACCACAATGAAATTTTCTGAAAAATCGGGCTAGGCGGCGCCTAGGCGCTAGGCGGCCTGGGCGGCTGTGTGCAATATCAAATTAGTTTCTTTAGGTTATTTTATTTTATTTTTTGTAATTAAACAATATCTTTGCTTTCTTTTAATTACTTTTATTAGTAATTATGTTTTAATTATTATTTTCTCTAGTGAACAATTAGTATTAAATATGTTAATTAAATTCATAAATTATATTACTTAAAAAATATAAATTATTACGTTGTAGTATTTTGCGGACTTTAATTTTCATAGGGAGAAATTTTTATTTATTTTGGAATAGCTAATTAATTAATATTTTTAATTGAATAATATCTTAGTCTTATTTAATTAATATAATTACTAATAAGCTTTTAGTTATTATTTGTTTCATAAATTACTTATCAAATCGTAATTAATTTTTATGAATTATTTTGTGCTCTTAAAAACCAAGAACGTGGTTGCAACACAAAAGAACCAATACATACATATAGTATACTTGATTTGCTTATGAACTTAGTTCTTGATTGACTGGTTTGTAGTGGTTACATGTCCTCAGGATACGAAATTGATGGGTTCTACTCGCTAAAATCTGATGTCTATAGTTTTGGTGGGTTGATGCTAGAGACAGTGAGTGGGAAGAGAAACATAGGATTTACTCATTGCTTTTTTTTGTTTCTTCTTTTAAGTAAGCACAATGATTTTGCACTTTTGATAAATTCTTTTAGGCATGGATGCTATACACAAAAGGCTGGTCCATTGAAGTGCTTGATACATCAATAGGGGACTTAGGTGATCCACATGAAATTGTGAGATTATTTCATGCATGTAGGTCTTTTATGTGTGCAGTGTAACCCGGGAGATCGGCCGAGCATGCTAGTTACAATGAAAGGATCTCAATGAACTCGAAGTCGGTCATTCTTTTAAAGCATTTTCAACAAATGAACGCAAGTGCTTCAAATTTGGGGCAAAGATTCATGAAGTTCCAAATTGCGTGAGGAAGGATCTCCTAAAATGCCATGCAATGTGCACGTGTTATAAGGTATGCAATTACAGTCGCTTCAATCATATGCACTTAGCCAATTAGTGATAGGGGAAACCAGTCTAGAAATTTCAGATTCTTTAGAGAGCATGTGTTTTTTGTCATTTTTGACCATTGTGTGATATTTATTATGTGTAGTTTGTGGGAGCAAATATTTCCGTCTCCAATCACGGCACGTCACGTGGAAAATAAGATTATCTCTTAAATTAATTAATTGAACTAGTTTATCTGGCCAATTAATTAATTGGAATAAATATCTTAATTAATAGGATATTATCTTTATTTAATAAGATAATATCATTAATTAAGATATTATCCTAATAAAGAGAATATAATATCATTAATTCAGATATTATCTTCAATAAAAAGAAGATATTATCTTCAATAAAGAGATGTAATCAAGTCCGACTCGATCCCTACGAATTTGGATAGAGAATAAACTCATCATATTCTCTACGAAACCCTAGCCCCGAGGCTCCTATAAATAGACTACTTCATTCATCATTCAAGGTACATCTAAACCTACTCCTAATACCCGAGAAAAATACCTGAAGCTCTCTCTCCCTCTCCACTCTCCATATTTTCTCCACACGGCTTCGGCCACCACACACGGCTCCGGCCGCCCGGTTCACACCATACATAAACTCCGTACCATTTGTTTAGCTATTGTTTTCCTACAAACACTCGAACTAACTTAGGCATCGGAGGGCCTTTGGCCAACACCCCCCGGGTGTGGTATATTTACTCCAATCTTTTTTACAAGAATCGAGGAAGAGAGATAAGGAAGATCGAAGGTTGAAGGATCTAGAAGCGAATATTCTCCCGCAAGATTATTTGTACAAACATTTGGTGCTTTCATTGAGAGTTCAAGTTATACTCAATGCGTGCTCAAGGAATCCGTTCCTCCTATTTTCCAATCCATCGAAGCCTTCCAAACAACCATGGTTGGAAGCAAACACCTTAGGAGCAAAACCGCTGCGACGGCCTAAAGCCACTCCATCCATGATCCTGCGATTGACATGGTGGCACCACCACCTCTCACCACCGAGCCACCTACCGGACCTGCGGCCGGATCTAGCAACCTTCGTGGCACCACCATCGAGCATGGTGGAACCTCCCATCAAGGTGGGCTCGTTACCACCACTGACTTAGGCCCGGTCTTGGAGCAACTTCAAGCATTCCCTCCATTGCCTCCACGCTCGATGTACGCTCCTGCATACACCTCCAATGAAACCCTAGCCCGTGTGCTATTGGGCTCCACACACTTCTCTCCTCCCGATCCACAAAGTCAAGCAGATCTTAATTTGAGAGTTGACTAGTTAGCTCCGAGGATGGACGACCAAACCAATCTGATGAGGCAACTCCTCAACTAAATAAACTTGGTTCAAAATCTTGGCCTTGGACAACCGAGCGAAGAGAGAAGGAGGGACGAACGCACCGATAGGCAGGTCGATGGGTACCAAGCAGGTCGAACAGGAGTAAGCAGACAAGGAAATGGACAACAACGTGATCAACTTGCTGGCATGTCACAAGCATTTGCAAGCCACACACAAAGCAACGTGCGAGAAAGGCTCGGCCCATGACTTGACATCTGCACTCGCCTGGGCCCGCAGGGAAATGTTCATGAAAGGCTAGGCTCCTGGGGAGGTCACACTGACAATCGCCACAATGAGGATCTTGAAGAGAGGCGCTCCGCTGCCCGCTCACAGAGAAATATTCACGAAGGGTTAGGCCCCTAGGGAGGTCAACCTGGTAACCCTCACAATGAGGACCGTGAAGAAAGACACTCCACTGCCCGCTCTCGGAGAACCAATTCTCGTCGCCAAGCTACAGAAAATCCCTCGCAAGCGCAGTCCACCAACACGCCGCCTAGGTAGCGCAACCGAGAAGGTCGACCCTCACGAACCAATGAGGAAGTCAATCAGCATCGCCCAAAGCGTGAAGGCCATCAACATGATCAACCAGCCATATGTGCAAAAGGCGTTGAGAAGCTTGTGAATAATTGACTGCGAGACTTAAAGATTAGAGGAAATTTTGGAGATGCACTACGCATTGAGGTAGATCAAGCAAACTCCTCACCTTTCACCGCCGAAATCGAGCAGGCTGCTCCCCCAAAACGATTCTCAACGCCCTCTTTCATATACTTCAAAGGGGATTCCAATCCCAAAAGTCATCTAAAGCATTTCAAGAGCCTTATGATCCTCTACAAAGCCGAAGACACGCTTATGTGCAAGGTGTTTGCAATGACTTTACAAGGAGCAGCTCAGGACTGGTTCCACACCCTGCTATCCGGGTCGATCAGCAGCTTCAAGGAGCTTGCTTATGTCTTCACTAAAGAATACACTTCTTATTGGACGATCAAGAAGAACCCTGACCATCTGTTCAACCTGCACAAAAAGTCCGATGAATCCCTCCGAGACTACATCAAGAGGTTCAAAGCGAGAGGGCAAACATTATAGGATGTGATGACCAAATTGAGTCCTCTGCCTTTAAGAGGAGGTTGCCAACTGAATGTGAGTTGTATCGCGAGCTGACCATCTCTCCTCACCAAACACTGGTAGAAGTCTTCGCTACAGTAGAGCGCTACGCACTATGGGACGATGACCGGATTGTCGCGAAGGAGGCTGATCAAGCAGCTGAGCAGGCAAGCAAAGAGAACGGCAAGCGCAGATCACAACCTCAGGAATGTGCTCCAGTAGAGAAGAGCTACACTAAGTTCACTATCCCGATACACCAGATCCTAACCCAAATAAAGGACATGCCTTGGTTGAAGAAACCATCACCTTTAAAGGGAAACCCAACCAAGAAGGATACTAGTAGATACTACACATTCCATGAAGGGCACGGTCATTACACAAATGACTGCTTCGCCTGGAAAAGACACCTCGAAGATCTAGTCAGAGACGGCCATTGCACGGAATTCGTCGCAAAGGGGGGCTATCCAGCAAATCAAGGATTGTGATGCCGCTAACAATGAGCCTTCACGAAAAAAGTCATATGGATCAACACGATCCTAACTAACTCCAAGAGCCTGAGCCGACCACCAGGGGCAGAAGAGAAAAATCAAGCAGGCGAATTTTGTCTCGCAAGCCGTCACTAGCTACCAAGTTATGGAAGACAAACCTTTCATCATCTTTCAATGGAAGGAAGTTCCAGTGCAATGGAATGCCCTTCACCTCCAGAGGTAGCATCCATGAAGCTCCACACCTATCAACTCGACTCTAAGCAGGTAGCCAAGCCTCCATCACCTCAATTGAAGACAAGTTACTTTTGATGTTACTCATGCAACTCATCTTTTTTACTTAATAGAGAAATGTAGTAACACAGACATCAATACAAGTTCAAGCTTTTCTTTCCAATTGAGTGTTCACAAAAGCAATTGACACGTCTCCGGGCGTAGGCCAAACATGTCACACTCATCGACACATCTCCAGACGTAGGCCAAACGGGCCACTGTCATCGACACGTCTCCGGACGTAGGCCAAACGGGCCACATACATCGACATGTCTCCGAACGTAGGCCAAACGGGCCACTATCATTGACACGCCTCCGGACGTAGGCCAAACAGGCCACACACATCAACATGTCTCCGAACGTAGGCTAAACGGGCTACTCTAATCGACACGTCTCCGGATGTAGGCCAAACGGGTCACACACATCAACACGTCTCCGAACGTAGGCCAAACGGGCCACTATCATCGACACGTCTCCGGACGTATGCCAAACATGCCACACACATCGACACGTCTCCGAACGTAGGCCAAACGAGCCACTATCATCGACACATCTCCGGACGTAGGCCAAACGGGCCACACAAATCGACACGTCTCCGGACATAGGCTAAACGGATCACTCTTATCGACATGTCTCCGGACGTATGCCAAACAGGCCACTATCATCGACACGTCTTCGGACGTAAGCCAAACAGGCCACACACACATCGACACGTCTCCGGATGTAGGTCAAATGGGTCACTCTCATCGACACGTCTCCGAACGTAGGCCAAACGGGTCACTCTCATTGACACATCCCTGGACGTAGGTCAAACGGGCCACTCTCATCTACACGTCTCCAGACGTAGGCTAAACATGCCACAACCCAGAAACACTCAAGTAGTTCACAAGACATTATGCGAATTGAAGCTGAGCACAAGTGGATGGACTTCACAAAAAGTTCGTCTTTAGTAGATTAGACACACATGCATCCTTTGCTGGGCCGGACTTGTCCACCTTAGCATCAGTTGCTGACGTTGTAGAAGAGCACTTCGCCCCAGCAGATGACTCTTTCCTCTTCTTAGCCGCTGCCATCCTCACCTCCAATGAAGTCAATGACGACGAATCAACTCCAAGCTTGAGTGCTCGTGACTTAACAGTTGGATCATGATGGTTGGGCGGATGAGCAGATCCCCAAGTTCGATCTTCATCCTCTCACTAGTACAGACAACTCGAACCACGGAGAGGAATATCAGCATCTCTTTGCCTCTCAACAAGTGAGCTAGACCGCGCACGGACTACTTTAAGGAGCATATCACGATCTCCAAACACATCCAGCTTGAGTTCTAGAAGACTTGACATCAGCCTTCCTCTTTTAGGGGAGTTCAGCAGAACATTCATCTTGTCCAGCATGCAAATCATCAGGATCCGGACCATTCTGCTTTAATCCCTCGACATTCTCGGTAAGGGGCAGACCACTGTCTTTCTCTCGATACTCGCTCAGTAGCAACTAGCGGCCACTATTGCTCCAACCTTCTTCGACCGCCAGTCACGACGTCACCCAGCTGGTCCTTGCCTCGAAAAAAAGAAGACGACGAAAAATATATGTGCTCGACTTACCTTGGGATGCACGGCAACTCCTCTCTTCGACAAGCAGTACAAATTCTCCAAGATCTTTCTTAAGCTATAAAGTAGAGAAGTTAAGTTTGCGATGTAAGAAAGAGTGAAGAAAAGCCCTGTATTTGTACAAGTTGGACAACTCGGGTCAAGAAGGAATCGCAAGCTCATTCCTACTGGGAATCCAACTCCAAGAACAGTCAGAAGCCTACGCCAATAAGGAATCCGATCTACAAAAAAGCCCAGACACAGTTGGAGAGCCCGAAAAAATAATTTTATCTCCTACATGCCACACAAGCGCCATGCAAAAGCTGGGGGGCATTTGTGAGAGCAAATATTTCCGTCTCCAGTCACGGCACGCCACGTGGAAAAGAAGATTATCTCTTAAATTAATTAATTGAACCAGTTTATTTGGCCAATTAATTAATTGGAATAAATATCTTAATTAATAGGATATTATCTTTATTTAATAAGATAATATCATTAATTAAGATATTATCCTAATAAAGAGAAGATAATATCATTAATTCAGATATTATCTTCAATAAAAAGAAGATAAATATCATTAAATAAGATATTATCTTCAATAAAGAGATATAATCAAGTCCGACTCGATCCCTACGAATTTGGATAGAGAATAAACTCATCATATTCTCTACGAAACCCTAGCCTTGAGGCTCCTATAAATAGACTACTTCATTCATCATTCAAGGTACATCTAAACCTACTCCTAATACCCGAGAAAAATACCTGAAGCTCTCTCTCCCTCTCCATTCTCCATATTTTCTCCACACGGCTCCGGCCGCCCGGTTCACAACATACATAAACTTCGTACCCTTTGCTTAGCTATTGTTTTCCTACAAACACTCGAACCAACTTAGGCATTGGAGGGCCTTTGGCCAACACCCCCCGGGTGTGGTCTATTTACTCCAATATTTTTTTTACAGGAATTGAGGAAGAAAGATAAGGAAGATCGAAGGCTGAAGGATCTAGAAGCGAATATTCTCCCTAGAGATTATTTGTACAAACATAGTCCGAGATGACTATTTCAACTTTAAAGACTATTTTGAATCTCTGTGGACCGTGGTAAAGACTTCTATTTGCTTTGAAAGCTATTTGGAGGCTCAGGTAATTATTTCTGTTTACTTGGCGGTCCCAACCCAAACCATATATATGCAGTTTGAGTTTGGCGTTGTACAACTTACTGAAGAGACTTGGGGAACTGAACCATGCATATTCCCTTCTAATGGCTAGCTCACCCTTACCGTCACCCTCATCCACACACTAGTAGCAACAGTTTACATATTGAATCAATGGTCAATAAGCTTTCCAATAACATATTTATTCTAGATAAGCAGCTGTGAGCCTGTGGCAATGAGAGGGTACTAAAGAGACAGATACTACTATGTGTGTGTGTGTGTGTGTATAAAGGGTGGATCCGTATCACCATATTTTTGACACATGGTTTCGACACAAGTTCTTGACCATTAGATTAACACATTATAAATAGTTGAGATAAATCTCACTACTATTTATTACTATCTTTTTAATAATACTTTTTGCCTAAAATTACTATTATTTTAATAGACTAATTATGAATTCCACAGTTCCCATGATTCTCTCTCTATATCTCTTCTCCGTGTCCACTGTTGGCTCTACTTCTATCCCTCTTCCTCCATGGCCACCATTGACTACATCAATCAAGAATGCCAACAGCAATCAACAACTGCAATCCATTAATTAAAAAAATCTCTTCCCATCCTTCATCAGGGCAACAAGCATAACCCGATTCCTCCGAGCCTTGTTAAGATCATATCTTCAGTGCCTCAAAGTTCATCAAATTATGCAAAGTGAAAGCTTGAAGAACATGTTCAATGGATTAGTTGAACCAAACCCTGCAGACTATTCTCAAGAAATTATCTCACATCTTACCACTCATTATACAGTTTTACCAAGGCTCAATGATGAGACAAGTAATTAACTAAAGACTAGGAATTTTCCGATGAGTTTTAATTATTAATTTAGAAAAGTTGATAGAGGTCCAAAAATCCAACCAATAATTGGGTCTAATCCTCGAATTATTTGTTTATTGATACAAGTTATTTGACTAGTTTGCCATGTAGATTACATTTCATCTTTGACATGTTGGTTAAAATTTTTGTATTTAACTGATTTGTATTTAAATTTTTTTGTTCCTATTATATCCCTACTGTCTAAAATGAGTAAGATGAGAATTTATATGCCATTATTTTTATTTTTGTTCACCCTATGGTAGAGGTATAGTATATACTCTTGTAGATAAATTATCCTATGGTGTAGGTATATTGTCATATTGCCTATTGCATAGGTATATATTTGTTATTTCATATTTTAGACAATGAATAATAGTATTTTATTTACATTTTTTATAGGTAACATACAATTTTTTTTTTTTTTTTTTTTTTTTTTTTTTTTTTTTTTTTTTTTTTTTTTTTTTTTTTTTTTTTTTTTTTTTTTTTTTTTTTTTTTTTTTTTTTTTTTTTTTTTTTTTTTTTTTTTTTTTTTTTTTTTTTTTTTTTTTTTTTTTTTTTTTTTTTTTTTTTTTTTTTTTTTTTTTTTTTTTTTTTTTTTTTTTTTTTTTTTTTTTTTTTTTTTTTTTTTTTTTTTTTTTTTTTTTTTTTTTTTTTTTTTTTTTTTTTTTTTTTTTTTTTTTTTTTTTTTTTTTTTTTTTTTTTTTTTTTTTTTTTTTTTTTTTTTTTTTTTTTTTTTTTTTTTTTTTTTTTTTTTTTTTTTTTTTTTTTTTTTTTTTTTTTTTTTTTTTTTTTTTTTTTTTCCCCAAAGAAGACTAGAAAACAACTTACCATCTATCTGGTGTTGCTTCTTCCAAACATTAGAAAAAACAGAGCTACACCCAGGTGGAGCCCAGGAGATGACACAATACTGCCTACTATGATTCTTACTTTCTTCACATTCAATGAGACTATAAAATATAACCCAAGTGGTCTAACCCCCCGGGGCAGAAATTGGGTTTAGCAGGTTTAGCACTGATTGTTGTATAGTCTTCATGATCTAGGCAGGAAATATATTTGAAAGCAAAAAGAGTGAGAAGTTAGATATTGATTAAGAAAGAAAGAAAAAAAAACTGTAATGTCTATCATCCATTGATCTTAACAGACGAATTTTGAAAGTAGAGTTTGATAATTGTGTCCAAATCCAAAATTATTGAGTAACAACCTTTGGGTTTGATATGTTTTGACTTTACTTTTTGTACATGATCATGAAGAGATGGATAACTCCCAATTGACTGTTCCATATCCAAAGATGTTTCTTTTTTCTCTTGTTTTCTTTAAAATTTGCATTAACACACTGACTTTTGAGATTAAAAATGACTCGATACCTAGTTCTGATGCTGCCATACTAAAATAAATATCTTGCCCATTTTCAGTGAAATTTCTTACATCAATCAGCTCCCTAAACCACAGCAGGCACCCACTTCCTCCATCCCTGTATCCAAGTTTGCAAAAGCTGTGCAGGAGCAGTTCTTCATGCACAACATCTCACATTCCTTGAGTTCCATACTTCTGTTAAACCCAGATACATCATTTGCAGAAGATCCATCATTTGCAGTCTGTTTTGTTCACTCTTAAGGTTTGTTTCCCGTTTCAGCTTAAAATCTTCAGCTTTCAAGTATATGCTAAAGTGAAAGCAAATATATAATATTTGGTTGCATTTGCATGTCACAGAGAGACTCATTGGCTAATGATGAGAGGCTTAATGCTCTAGAAGGAGAGGTTCACATCTTTTTCAATTTATTTTTTGCAATTTTCAATTCAATGAAAAAGTAGCAGAGAGGGTTTGTTGGATTTGAGAAATGGGCTTTGCAATGTGATGCAGAATGCATATTATTAGTTTTCCTTATTCTACTTGGATTAGTTTTCCTATTATTAGTTCTCCTAAACTCTTAAAGGTTCCTTCTTGGTAAAGGATTTCTTATTAGCTAATTTGCTTTCCTATTTCTTAAAGATTCCTTCTTGTTAAAGGATCTCTTATTAGTTAATTTGCTTTCCTATTACTTTTCCTTGTCCTAGGCTAAAAAGGGTTTTGTCTCTATAAATAGAGCTGTTTGTAATCTTTTAAGGCAGACTTGATTAATGATAAACTTCCTTACTTTAAACTCTCTGATTCCTTCCCTTTCCCTTCGTCTCTTCGATCTCTAATTCTTCTCTTCGATCCCTTATTTCTTCCCTGCTCTCTTGCTCCAGTGTTTACTCTAAACCTAAAGGCTATTTACTCTAAACCCATGGGCTGTTCTACATCACAATGCTTTTTAGGTACGGCTTCTGTGGGCTGCATCAAGAAAGTACAACTTCAATCTTCATGTTTTAGAGTCTAAAGCACAAGATGCCGAGGATAGACTCGAAACGGTTGCCTCTCAGGCTCAAAAGGTCATGCACTGATGTACTCAATCCATCTTTGGTCTATGGCTATGAGTGTGTGATATTGTTAGTGTGGTGTTCATTTTGCCATTGGCTTCTTTCTCTTTGCTTTCAGATGGCTGACATTGTTACAGAACAATGGATTCAAATTCAGCGGCTTGGGCAGGCTCTTCATATTACACAAGTAAGTTTTTTCTGCTTGAAACTGGCTTCAGGTTGATTCACTAATATTTGATAGTTTCTTCTTGGTTGGACTGCTTTTCATTCTTTGGATATTGCATTTCTGTTATAGATTTTGACATTTTTTTTTTTTTTTTTTTTTTTTTTTTTTTTTTTTTTTTTTTTTTTTTTTTTTTTTTTTTTTTTTTT